CAGCCCCACGGGCTTACTCACTCCCTGAACCTCCGGCTGTGGATCTTGGGGCAGGTGGCACCTTCGGGAGCCAGGGAGCAGGTCGCCGCCTCCTTATGGATCTCAGCTCCCAGCGGCTCTTCTGACTGGCTCTCCCCCGCAGGAGAGGAGCACATGGGTGCTTCTGCTCCCGCCGGAGCATCACAGAAAAGCAGGTCACAGCACAGCACCTGTGGGGCTGGGGCCGGGCAGTGTCACCAGGGCAGCCAGAGGCACCCCACACCCGCCGCACCAAGCAGGGCTGCTGAGCACTGCGGCTGGCAGCAGAGATGGGAATGGCTGGGGGGAAAAGGAAGAACTCGGCAACTTTCTGTTCTTCCTGCAGGTGTCTTTCTGAACCCAACTTAGTTATTTTTATTGTGGCAAAATATTTATAAAATTTACATTTCAACCATTTTTAAGTGTGCAGTTCAGTGGCCAAATTTATATTTTAATTTTGAAAATTAACCTGAAGTTCCTACCAGGAAATTTAAAAAGCAGGTTTTTAGTTCTGAATTTTTTGCACTTAAATGCTTGAGACTATTCCCTTATCAAATAATCCTTAAATCAGAGCTGAACTCAAATATCTAAACTATGAGAACCTCAAAGGGTGTGTTTAAACACATCAGACAGGATTCCATAATGGCTCAGGTCCCCCAAATGTTCCTTCTAGACATTTCCAGAGCTCATGGGAGGCTCCAGCTCACCAGAGAAGGGATCTGGGAGCACACATCACACCAGCCAGGATGGCAGACACAACAAATGCAATGCCCTCTCCCCAGTGGGCGGAACTGGTAGCACCTGGCAGCCTGTCTGGCAGGAGCCTCCAAGTCTGATGGCAGTGGACCCACCTGCCACCTGCCTGGGGAAATGGCGCAGGAAGGAGCGCTCACGCCCTCTGCACACTCTCCCCAAACTGCCACAGGGACTGCGTCTAATCCAGGGGTGGGCAAACTTTGACTCAAGGGCCACAATGGGTTCTTAAACTGGACCGGAGGGCCGGAACAAAAGCATGGATGGAGTGTTTGTGTGAACTAATATAAATTCAAAGTAAACATCATTACATAAAAGGGCACCGTCTTTTTTTTTTTTTTTTAGTTTTATTCATTTCAAACGGGCCACGGCTGACGAAATGGCACCGTGGCACACTCCTACATCTGGTCGCTGCACAGCAGTGACAATCGGGATTGCCCCATGGGCACAGACTGCTGGCCAGAGAGACACCACTGCAAGACTCCCTGGGAAGGAAGCCCGAACGCTCACCGGGGCTGTGGTTGGGCAGGCCCTGGGCCGGGCCAGGGGGACTGTGCGTGGCTGCTCTGCTCCTGATGTTGGTGCTGTGCTCGTCTGTGCAGTCATCAAGCTATATGCTTAGGATCTGCGCTTTTCCGAGTGTCATTTAATAAAAAGTTACTAAACACGTTGTTTTCATGGCACTGTGTCTCGCACACTCATGGGAAAACGGCATTGCAGGTGATGGGGCTAATCCTCAAAGCTACTTCAAGTCACCAGGACCATCCAATGCCACACAGATCAAACTTGGGGCCTCATCCCCTGCCCGCACAGACCCCCACTGTCCATGGGGACAGCCTCTCACTGTCCAGCTGGGTGTCTGAAAACTTCTGCACGCTAGTGGCGGAGGCTGGCGGAATCCCGGGGGGTCTGCTGCACATGGTTGCCCCAACTGAAGGCGCAAACAACAGAACTGGTACCTGTGGGCTCCTCCTGCTCCAGAGCCAGGTCGTCACCACTCTCTACATCTTGCACATCGTCACTGGCCAGAGTGGGGCTCACAGCATTTTCCTGGAGACGCTGCTGCTTTCTCTCCTCCCGTTCTTTCAAAATAATCTTTAAAATTGAATAAATGATTAAAGCACCTAAATACTTGTACTTACAAATAAGCTCTTTTGCAAAATAAACCACCCGAGGTCGGCTTACTGGCAGGTGCCCATCATGCCTTCACAGCGGCAACATGGCGCCACCCCGGCCCGGGGGTTGGCCCAGGAGCATCATGTCCCCTCGCTCAGGTGCACCGAGCAGGTTGTGTGCAACCTGGGTTCTGAGGCAACGGTGCAGCTCGACAGGCACCTGGCCTCAGGCAAGACACCTGTTCCCCACCTGAGACTGACCACACACCTCAGGCTGCGGAGAATTCAATGAAGAAACCTGTGCAACAGCCCGGACTGAGAATCTGCCAGGAAGTGTCCAATATTCACCGAATCTGAACAGCAGATTCGCCTCAGGTGGGATGAAGTCATCAAGTAAATAAGGAGAATATAACTCCCCATTTCTCATTTTCTGTCCATGTCACTGCAAAGTATTTAAAAAATGGCTTCCCTCCGCCCGGCCGCACAGACCCCGGAAGCAGAGGCACCAGAAGCTCGGTTGGTGGAGTGTTGTCCTGATAACTGCAAGGCTGCTGGGTCACTCCCCCGGTGGAGGCAAGTAAGGAAGGCAACCTTTCTCACATAGAGCGCGCACGCTCTCTCTCCTCCCCTCATCCCCCAGGCATGTCCTCGGTGAGAATTAAAAAAACAAGAACCAAAAAAAACCCGGCACACCACTTCGCATGCCCCACGACGCCACTTTCACCTCAACCCTGAAGACCTGAAGCCTCAGAGCTGGAGAACACCAGGCTTTCTAGGGCAGCGGTCGCCAACCTTTCGGACCTCACGGACCACCAGCTGGTGACCGCTGCTCTAGGGCCGGTTTCATCACTCACCTTCTTCAATGATGTCGGCTTCTTGGCTCTGGGGACCTCCCTCTGCTTCCCCTTCTTCATCAGGGGAGCGCTGGAGTCCAGGGGGTTGTGCGGGGTCTTCACCTGGCTGAAGCGGTGGCCCTTCTTCCCCAACGTGGCCTCTTTGGAGAGAACAGGAACTGCCCCGACTGCAACACAGTGAGGATGCGGGGCTCAGGGAGGCCCGGCGCCATCCCTGCAGCCAACTGCCCCGTGGACGGTCTCGGGCAACGCCGCCAGTGAAACAGTACCTTTCGGTGAGGCTCCAAAGAAAGTGTCAATGAATTTAGGAAGAATCGTCTTCCTATCCCTCTATGAAGTCTCTTGTTTCTCAGTGAAGTCTATTAATGTGTGACCTTACTTGCTGAGGGCACTTCTGGTGGTCTGCACATATGATGGCTCTACTTCCTACCCCTTATTCCTCCTCCCAGGAAACAGTTCATCTGTGTATGCGTCCCTGTACTTTATAATTAGGAAAATTTCCAACATACAGCAAAGAGAACAGAGTAACAACAAAACCCATGTACCCACTGCCCAGCTTCACCAACCATCAAGAATCTCCCAAATGTACTGACCCACATTCTGTCAGCATGGCATTTCCGTTACCAGTGCTTTGTAGCCATGCAATCTCACCTGTCGGGTTCTCTGCTACAGGGTGGAACGAGTCCACCGTGCCCTTGCTCTGGGCCATGTCCAGCCTTGGCCACCGCACAGCTGCCGTTTATCTGTGGAAACCTGCTCCCACCATTATGTTTGAAATGTATGTGTAACTGGCTTGGTTCTTGTCATTGGCTTTTCCTGAAGAATGAGTCATACCAACCCTGCTCACATAGGTGTGCTCTCCCATCCCGATGCCACCTGTGAGTTCAGGACCCCCACTGGGCCCCTGCACCGCCCACTGCAGCCCTCCAGCCCTGCCCCTCCTGTCTGCACCCCGTGCCATGCAACTTGCCAGAGTGTTAACGGGGGACCTGGGCAAGGAGGGCCCTTCCCAGTGGAAGCCCCAATAAAGGCTCTGGCCTAACCCCCCCTCCCTCCTGCCCACCTGGTCTTCTCCATGTGGCCCTGCATGCTGTGTCTCCTGTCTCCAGGACCTGGGAGTAGGATAAGCGTTGCCTTTTCTTGAGCTTCTCCTGTGCTTCCTCCTGTGGCCACACCTGACTGACCATATCAACAAAAAATACATAACAAGCCTCGGCTGGGTGGCTTAGTGGTTAGGTCCAAGGGTTGGCCCATGGACCTAAGAATCAAGGGCATGTACTTCAGTTGCAGGCTCGATCCCCAGCCTCAGTCAGGGTGCATGCAGGAGGCAACCAATCGATGTCTCTCTCCCTTTATCTCGCCTTCCCCTCCCTCCTCACTCCCCTCCACTCTCTAAAAAATCAATGGAACTTTTACCATTTGCAACAGCATGGATGGAGCTGGAGAGCATTATGCTAAGAAAAATACGCCAGTCAGAGAAAGATAAGTATCACATGATCTCCCTCATATGTGGGATATAATGAACAACATAAACCGATGAACAAAAATAGAACCAGAGACAAACACTGAACAGACTGTACAACCTCAGAGGGAAGGCAAGTAAGACATCAACCAAAGGTCTTGTATGCATGCATATTAGCATAACCAATGACACAGACACTGGGGCAGTGGGGGACTGTCCTGAGGGGTGGGGGTGGCGGGTCGATTGGGGAAGGAGACATATGTAATACTTTAAACAATAATTTTTTTAATTATAAAAATACTTCAGGATAAAAAAGCTCCTTAATTATTTCCTTGGGTGCCTACGTTTTTCTTTTTAAAATAAATTAATAAACTACCTCAGAAGGAGGAAACATACTTAAAAGACTATAGGTGGCAATTGTGCATCTTCTTTTGTTGACAAATTGCCAATTTTAACATCTTGGCTCTCTGAGGCTTTTCAGAGGCGAGAATGGTGTTATCAGAACTGAGCCGACACTGTTATGAGGTGCAACCCAGGGACAGGCAGGTAATTCATTTCTGCCAGGTTCAGCTTTATTTAAAGCTGTACAGGGCACTTATGCATCATGAGATTTTCAGGTACACAATGCCACCATATCTATGTCTTAAAATCATACTTAACTTTTCAATGGTTATGGTAAAATATATGTAACATAAAATCTACTATTTTGAGTTTTTAAGTGCACAATTCAGTGGCATCAATTACGTTCACAAAGTTGTGCAACCATGACCACTACCCATCTCTGTAACTTTTTCATGTCCCAAACTGAAAATCTGTCCCCCTTAAACAGGAACTCAACATTCCCTCTCCCCTCAACTCCTGGTAACCTATACTCTATTTTCTATGAATTTGCCTATTCTAGAAAGTTAATGTAGTGGAATCATACAATATTTTTTCCTTTTGTGACTGGCATATTTCACTTAACATGTTTTCAAGTTTGTCCACGTTGTAGCATATGTCAGAATGTCCACATTTTGTTTATCCATTCATCTGTTGATATATATTTGGGGTGTTTCTACCATTTGGCTATTATAACTAATACTGCTATGAATACTGGTGTTCAAATGTCTGTATCTGTTTTTAATTATTTTGGATAAACACAGAGGAGTGGAATTGCTCGGACAATGGCAACTCTATTCCCCATTCTGAAGAACCCCCAGACTGTTTTCAAAAGTAGCTGCATCATTTTACATTCCCACCAGCAGTTTAACAGGGCTCCAAGTCCTCCACATCCTCACCAGCACTGGTCATTTTTGTGGTTTTGCTTATAGCTACAGAGGAGGTATGAAGAACTACCTCACTGAGGTTTTGACTTGCATTTCTCTAATGACCAATGATGATAAATATCTGTTCATGTGCTACTGGCCATTTGTGTATCTTCTTGTGGAGAAATGTCTTTTTAAGTATTTTAGCCCATTTTTTGAGTTTGTTACTGAGTTGTAGTTCTTATATATCAGAGATCAAACGCTTACCAGATATGATTTTCAAATATTTTCTCCCATTCTGTAAGTTGTTTTTTCACTTTCTTGATAATGTCCTTTGGTACACAGATGTTTTTAATTTTGATGAAATCCAATTAACCTATTTTTAATACTTTTGCTGCCTGTCCTTTTGGTGTCCGAACTAAAAATCCAATGTCTAATTCAAGAGCATGGAAATTTACCTGTTTTCTTCTCAGAGTGTTACAATTTTAGCTCTCATAATTTGGTCATTGGTCCATTTTGAGTTCATTTCTGTTTATGTGAGGGTCCAACTCTATTCTTTAATATGTGGAAATCCAGTTGTCCCAGAACCAATTTTTAAGAGAATGTTCTTTGTTCTTTTAATGAACTCAGCACTCCTGTCAACAACCCACCAGCCATGCATATGCGAGTTTACTTCTGGACTCCCATTTCTATTCCAATGGTTTGTCTCTCCTTATTCCAGTACCATACTGTTTTGTGTATAAATGACTTTTGATTACAGAAGAAAAGTCACAAAATAGTCTATCTGAAAAACAACTTCCAATCGTTTGAGATTAAAAGGCCCTTTTACCTGAAAACACCACTGGTTTGGAGGACTGCTTTGCATTCTGGGAGTGCTGCTTCTTTTCCAGTGCTGTCAGCATTCCCCCCAAATCCAACTGTACTGGAGTTTGGCTCTTCTTTCCACTTTTAAAATTATTCTAAAAAGTTCAAAAATCGTAAGTTTATTTATAATAATACATTTTACAAGCTGTGTTTTTCATCCTATGACAAAAAAATCATATAAAGATAAAATGAAATAGATTTAGAGACTGTAAAAATCTTAAATAAAGAGAAAAACCCAAGCAATCCCCACATTCTCTGCTATTACCACCGGGGTTCTTTCCTCCTTCTCTTCTCAGAACACTGGGTTACGTTAAACCACCTACAATTGTCTACATCTCCCCTGTATCAGTGTACATCTACAGACAAGAAACCAACCCTTGTATAAAGTCTTTGGCTGTAACAGTTTGCTGTATGTGAGGCTAACTGGTCAGTATTAATGCCTTGTTAGCTCCATTCATTCTTCAATTGCCCAAGTGAGCCAATCAGCTGCCATGAAACAGATTTACCCAAGTCACATCACACCTAGCAGGTGAGTGCTACATTTAGACACAAAGTTGGAGGTGCTCTCAGGAAATGTGACTTCTGACACAGTTGGGCTCTGGGTGTAAGACAGTAATGAAAGCTGTGCAGGCAGGTTGTGGCACGTGCTTTAGCACCGTCACTGCTGCTCTCCTGCCCACTGTTCTCGTCCCTGACACCATACCCACTGGCTGAGGGCTCACATGAGGGCAGCACTCGGTGCAGTACAGGTGGGTACGTCATAACATGGTAATGCAAAGTTAATTCACACAAGGGTGTAGAATTCTTCCTTCCACAAATATGAACCGTTACCCCGATTTGAAAGGCAAAATGACAATGAACCTGCCCAAAGCACCGAAGTTCCCCAATTAGATCATGAGCCTTCAGGTCATTCTTGAGCCCACGGGGCGGGGGACAAGGAGCAGCAGCTCTCCCGCCTGTCTGACTACTTAGAGTGAAACTGGACGGCTCGGTTGTTTTCCTTCTGTTGGACACTACTGCCTCACAACGGAATTCTTGGTTCCTGAATACAGGGAATCACCAGTTTTTCTTTAAATCAGTCTCACAGGCAGTACGTGTTTGCCTCCTTTCTGATACAGCAGTGGTAATTACCAACAGTCTTATTACAAAAGTGACAGTGTTTTAGCCGAAAAGCAGTTCTGCTTCAACATACCGAATGCCTCCAATGAAGGAAGAAATAAAAACAAAACCGGTCTCCACAAAGAAGTCTGGAAAGCAGTTTTGTCTTAAGAGTCAGTTTAGCAAGAAAAGTTAAGCCTAAAGCAATTGTGGGTTTCAATCTAAAATTTACCTGTGGCTGCTGCTTAGATTGACATTTCCGTGACTCTACTCTGTCTCTTCTTTCAGATGCAACTGCCAGAATGGGAAACTCTTCAGTATCCTAAGTAAACCACACACCCTTTAGCGCTTCATGAATCGTGAGACCCAAGTATGCCCAAGTGAAGCCTTCTCCTTGCTCACATATTCTACTTTAAGTTCCCACGGAAGGGCTCAAAGGTTGATACAAAACAGGCCAAAAACTGTATCATAAGGGCTTCAGCTTAATTTTACTTAGAACCAATTTAAAGACCATAGTTCTAATCTCCTGCTCCACAGAGCAAGAGTGGGGACCCCAAGGAGCCCACAGACTGCCCCTAATGACCATGGCATGATAGTGTTCAACAACCACCCTTCAATTACACTTCGCACTTTGCATCAATCCAGACTCAGGGCATGTCAGTGTCCTGTCATGTTGCTGAACCCAGGCTGGAAAATAGGGGAGGGCGGGGGGACATACAACAGGCCTCTCCACCACATTTACATCATTTAAAATGTCTTGCGTGCTCTGTCAACATTTTAGGTGCCTTGGAGAAGTTATGTGAGAAGGGCAGAAATATGAAATATGTATTGGCCAAACCATAATGCTATGCCATGATCATAGTCCTTCAAATACAACCCACCATTCTCAAGGGAATGTTTCAAGAGCCTTGGGAACCCCCAGGTTGAGGGGAAGCCTCGGCTTGACCCTAAGCGGGACACCCAGGCAGCACCGCTGACCTCCTGCAGGCCCCAGGAGCCACGCTGCTGAGTCTACTAGCGCAGACCCGGGAGAAACAGGGTTCGAGCCTGGAGGACAGGGACATTCTTGGAGTACCACAAGGACAACAATGTAAAGAGTGCTTTTGCAAGTCCATGACATTCTTGTGACCAGGGCCCATGATGGCTCCTGGGTATTTTAAATTTCTCTCTCTAGTGAAGCACATTATAATAAGATTTCTGGATAGAAAAGGAGGCCCTGCAAAAGCCAGGACGCCAAAGTGACAAAAAAAACATGTAAAGCAGATATTTATGGGAGACAAATATTAGTACTATGGTGTATAAACGATTGCATTTCAAGTAAGAGTTTTGTCTCTAGACCCCAATGTTTATTGAGTGCCTGCTATGAGGCTTTCTTCACTGGCCAAAATGAAGATGCGAAGAAAATGGATAATGGCCTTTTCTTCAGCACTAGGTGGGCTATTATTAAAGAAAGCGTTGAAAATTTTCACTTAGGAAACCAGTGAACCCACATTTCTATTGAGACGGACCCATACATCACACAAAGGGGAATATGTACTTCAATCCGTGGTGGCTCTTGCGCTGTGTGGATTTCGTATTTTGATTTAAACTTTTCTTTCTTTTTCTTATTCTTTCTTGAGGCTTCATTTTGCTCAGAATCACCACCTTGTGATGCTTTGCACTAGAAACAAAAACAAAATCAAGGGTTTTTAGGACATTCAATTGAATGTTTAATTCCATGTATTAGAGCAAAATTAAGTTATCAATTTGTATAATCACATGGCAATTTTATTCATAGTTTGCCTCTTCATTCTCTATTTTCTAAAAAGCTAGCATTCTGGAGAATAATTCGGAAGGAAAAAAAAATCTGTGAAAATAGTTGTGTTCAATATTTTGAAACTGGTAGATTTAGACAGAACCCAGTTTTCAGCCCACGGAGGCCAGGTTAATAATTCTATTAATTCCGACTTGAAGTCCCTTCACAGATCCAGGTGTGCCATCTCCATCACCAGGGCCCAGGGGTTCCTACAACTGACTGCACATGACAGTCACCTGTACAGCCTTCAAATCAGAACGTCTGGTCCATCCCAGACATCCTGAATGTGACGTTAGTATCCCACCCTCGCCTCAGGCTGGCCTTTCCCAGTCCCGGTCCCGGTCCCCCACACTGTGGCCTCAGGGCTTTCGCACTATCACTCACACAGGTTGAGGCTAAGACTGCACCCCCATTTCAGCTCCAGTCTCCCTACTCTGTCTGGCCTCTCCTTCTCCACCCTCCTTGCTACCTGACAGCTTCTGCACCTGTCTGCACAGCACTGTCCCTCTGCATCCAAATGGGGTTCTCAAGGTTTTCAGGGACCTTGTTTTATCCTCAATGGGCACTTAGCCTTCACAGCTAAAAGCCTTAGTGGCCATTAAAGAGTGTTTATCTACTGACCTGGGGTGGGGGTGGGGGGCTGTCTATGTTTTGTAAAGTGGATAGGGCAATGTGTATAAAACGACCATATTTTTGTTAAGGGGGAAAAAGTTAAAAAACACACAAAAAACACCCTATTTGTTTATGTTTTCAGGAACCTGAGGTAGGGTACATACCACGTTGGAAATGCAGGCTTCCTTGGGGGCTTGGGGGGCACAAAGAGGTATGGGAATGATGACCTTTTCCATAACTAGATCCTTTTAGCATTATATTTGTTATTTTGGTAATAAAAACTTACAACCCTGAAAGTTTTAAAGGAAAAAGCCATTATGATCCCTATCATCCCTCCTGTGTATAATGAAAAGCAATATAGGTTAGAAGATTACAGGGGATCGTCCTTTTAAAAACGATTCTTAGAAATTAAAAAATCTGCTAACTATCTGGAAAACCACTTCAGAGAGTAACGTGGTGGCTGCAGCCAGAGGGGCCTGAGCAGCCAGTGCCCGGAGGTCGGCGGGGCCTGGGAGCTAGCGGTGTACCAGAGGGGTCTGACCTGCACCTGTTCTCAAATGAGCGCACCAAGCTGTGTGGGACAGCACACAGGCCTGCCCCACTCTCACTGTCGCCTGCACATTTCCTCAATCAACCAGGCACCAGCGCACAGCGCCCACGTGGGCAGGATATTTGTGACACTTTGGACATCAAAAAGCAGACTCACACCCCAACACTGGGAACCCCCACACTAAAGAAATGCAACCAACATCCACCTACAGGAATCTATCAGTACACTGAAAATCAGGAACAGAATCGAGACTAATGAAAAAGGCTCTTCAAGATACAAATCTAGGGATCAATAAAAATGACAGCTTAAACTGATTAGAACTAAAAGGAAAAAATAGATTCTAAAATGCTACCTTACAGTATGTAAGCTGGAATCAACCAAGAATCAGTAACATATACCAAGTGAATGTAAAAACATGGACTTGAATTACTGTGCTCTCAGTCCCCTGGCAGGTAAAAGGAAATTGATTTAAACTCAATAAACAGAGACTGGGAGAAAGAATGCAGCACCAGAGTATACATTTCTGCCAGCTTCTCTCATTGAAAGAAGTCAGAATGGGCCACAGCTATGTAAGCCCACTGGCCTGGAGTGTGCCTCCTCACTCATGCAAAGCTGCCACTTGTATTCCTTGCCGAGGGCCTATTCTTTTTTTCAAGGTTCAAGCAACTAACTCAGGTGACACCCGCAGTACAGAATGAAACACTGCCAGTCAGGATTTGAGAAACAAATAGAAGTCCAGCCAGCGGTACAGGAGACCCCCATTATCTGAATGGATGCATACCTTTTTTGTTGAGTGGACAATGGGTTTCTCTCTGTTGTAGGACGGATCCGAAGATAAAACTTGAGAAGATGATTTGCTACCATTTTTAGGATCTGCTGATGAAACAACCGTCTTTAGGTTTATCACAGAAGTAACAATTCTAGGGGCTGATGATGACTCTGTAGGTAACGTCTGACGGACAACATAACCCATTGGCGTCCAGGATAACTCTGCTCAGAGATAACCACAATTGGGGAACAGTCTCAACAGCAAACACAAACTCCTTAGAGATTCCACACATGCATCAGGTGAGAGAATTACTCAGGCATAATTAAATTTAGGCTGTTCAAAACATTCTCTTGGGAAGGCCGATATTCACTAAACGTGTTTTCCTTGGAACATGCATGCTGAATTTACTTGTTAGGTTAACCGATCATCCTAGAAACTAGTTTTCACTTGGGGTTGTTCGGTTAAAAAACAGCAATCCTCAATTACGTCCACGTGGCAAACACACGGAATTAACGAGCTAAAGATCAAATATTCGCCCTACTAACCTTGATGTGTATCTTTAACAGCAGAAGTCAAAGGTCACTAGACTTCAGCTATCACAATAACTGGAAATTTATTTCTTTTTAGAGCAGAGGCATAAGCACAGCCACACTACTCCTTAGGTGCCCATGAAACTCTATATACAGACAAAACAAAAGGAAAGCCATCAGGACACGGCAAGGCATGTCAGCACCTGTGGCTACCCCAGACGATAAGACACTGACTGTTCCTGTCACCACAGGGCTACACACCCTTAGAGAACTTTGTAAGTGAAGATCTTTGTACCAAACATACGAATGCAAAAGACAACATACCTGTGGGTAAATCAGGAATAATTTTGTGAAAATGTCTTCTACTAGGAAAAGCTACTTATAAAGATTTCACGAGCAGACTCTATTGAACTCTCTCTGAATATTACTTCTTAGCCAGGACAGGGCGTACTGGCAGCTCTCCAAGTGTGGCCTCAGGCTCCCAGGACCCTTGAAGTCAAAACTGTTTTCCTGACAGTAGGAATGTGTTACCTGCCTCTCTCTCTGCCTTTCTTCTCCCTCCCCACCTCTCTTTTACAAAGATTGCAAAGGTAGGACAGTGAGAAGGCAGAATGGCAAGGCAGATCTACAGAGCCAGCCACTGAAGAGTTGCAAAAAACAAACTCTGCTCTCCTTACTGCCTTACTTTTGTGGAAAACAGTTATTTTTCATAAAAATGCGATGTGACTTTTAAGTGAATTAGTAAGTATTTTTGAAATTTCTCTGTTTAACTTCAAATATTGCAAATACTGACAGTGGTCTAAACCAGCGGTCACCAACCTTTCAGACCTCACGGACCACCAGTGGTCCGTGGACTACCGGTCGGCAACCGCTGGTCTACACAGAAGCTCTGTGGGGCTGTGTAAAGGGTATTAAGGGCTCCTGAGACCAAACACCACGAGAACCTCTGGTATAGGTAACACTTATCAAAGCTACCATTTTTGAGTTGATAAATTTTTTCAATGAACTGAGTAAACATTTCATTTAGAATTCTTTGCTATCCTACACTCCTTACACATACATGGATATCTCATCTACTTCAATCTTCCAAAAATATTGTCAGTTTATCAACAACCTTTCACCTGCCTTAAAGAAGACTTTAAGACAAAAGCATTTAAGTTGCACTAGCCTAAAAATGAACTTAAAAACAGACAACTGATTTTTGAAAATGGTATTTGGTAGCCACTCTTACCTCCTGTACATGGAGAGGAATTGGTAGCAGCATTATCAGTTACAGAGTCAGTCGGCTTATTATTTTTCACCACTATTTCACCCTAAAGAGCAAACCAGTTATTTAAAAAGCAAACCAGTTATTTTCTTACTATTTCAAATGGGAAAGTAATCATTTAATTTTTAAATACAGCTTCCTTGCCATTCTTAAAATCTTCAAAATATGTGCTAATTAAAAATTCCAAATACCTAAATATGTGAAGTGAAAAGTTAAATTGTTTCCTTCTGCCAATTCTCTCTATCTAGCAGAAAACCACCCACAGCTTAGCTAGCATCTCTCTACTTCTTGTTCTAGGACTGCGGTTCTCAACCTGTGGGTCGCGACCCCTTTGGGGGTCGAATGACCCTTTCACAGGGGTCGCCTAAGACCATCAGAAAACACATATATAATTACATGTTGTTTTTGTGATTAATCACTATGCTTTAATTATGTTCAATTTGTAACAATGAAAATACATCCTGCATATCAGATATTTACATTACGATTCATAACAGTAGCAAAATTACAGTTATGAAGTAGCAATGAAAATAATTTTATGGTTGGGGGTCACCACAACATGAGGAACTATGTTAAAGGGTCGCGGCATTAGGAAGGTCGAGAACCACTGGTCTAGGAGATAATTTTTATATAGATCCTAATAATGGGATCACATCACACATCTTAAGCAACCTTTAAAAGATCCACATATCACAGACAACTTTTGCATCAGTGCAGACGTGCCAATACCATTCTTAAAACCCGAGTGCCCCCACAGGAATGCTAAAGCATCATGTACCGAGCCTACACACCAAAGTTCCAAAGTCCCTCCAAACATCCACAAAGAGAACAAATATATACTTGTAACAGGTGCCCACTTTTATAAAGACAGAAAGCTGCCACAAATGGAACATGAGGCCCAAAAAACACTGGGGGGGGGGGGGGGGGGGGG